GGCATTATAGTGTTCAATTTTATTTCCCTGTACACTAGAACTGGATGATCGTTTATTTGCTCACGCTTCCTAAACAAATCGGTCATATTCATTTGCCTTATAGAATCACCCCCTGCTTCCAAATTACGTACGGTCGGTATCACACGCTCGTTTTTCCGCTCATTACGTTTTTAAGTGCTCTCATAAGTGCATCCCTTTAAAGGCAACATGTTCGACGAGTTGTTGACTGTACTCGAATTCAAACGCACCGCCGTGCTGCGTTGGATCGTTTGAACTTTCTTCTTCGCCGTATCAATTTTTTAATGTCCTTAACATCAATTCTCTTTAATATCTTAATGCTCGTGGAAAACGAATTCCGAGAGATCAATCTAATATAGAGATACCTGTCTTTATCCATCTCTACCAAAACTCGGCCTTAACAAAAAAGCGCCATCGAATTAATCTTCGTCTGACGTCGGTCTGACTTTAATCAAACGGTAAGAGCGATTCGATTCGTCTCCGTTCTGGTCGATATCCGATTCCGTTAAGATTAGACGATGCCTCTACGGCGGCACATCGATTTTGTTCATTTAAGGAGAACAAAAGCAAAATAGAAAGTGAAGAAGGTTGAGTATTAAAAATTAGATAGACAACGGCGGGTGTGGCGCGGCTTGATTCTTGTTTGCAGTGCACTTGGATCTTTGCGATGAGTGCGAAGTTCATTTCTCGCCTTAGCGCTAATAACGGAAGAACGCTACCTTGGTCGAAGTGGCCACGGTATTAGACGATATCTACGTCTATTGCAACTAAAATGGAAAAGTTAATCGAGCGTCTTCGAAACGATTGATATTTGTATAATGCAACTGGTCGGTCTTTATTAATAGCGCGCTCACGGAGTACTCGAAATCTCTTTTCAAAGCGCAAACTGAAACAAAAATTTCATCGATCGAACGCCACTCTCTTTTGATAATAGTATCGTTTCCCGTAAGCTCTTCGACAAACACGAAAATAGTTCGTTTAGTAAACATTTGCAAAGCGATTTTCAAAACGTACGTTTTACAAAGTGAGAAATGACATAAAAGATTTTAGAAGAGCACTGACTAAAAATTTTATGTGGATACACGAACAGATGCATTACACTCGAAAACTTTTGTTTCAGAACTGTTTTTAAATAAAACCGTTTCCAGGTTCGCACCAGGCATTCGAAACGTTCCGGATAAAGTGCCCGTTGAATTCGAAATGTCTCGTACGCTTTCTTTACCCGTGTGTATGTGTATGCGCGTGGGTGTCGCGGGAAGAGGAGAGTATCTATCCATGGTCGGATCATTGATTCCATGGAAGTAAGAAGTGCTGTTTCGCCCTATCCGTTTTGTATTATCCGCGACGAGCGGATTCCGATGATCCTCGAACACAACGAATTTCTTTATCCGCGTCCCGGTTCACGCTCTCGTTCCGGTTAACACGGATCGCGAGCATCCAGTCTCGATTGCTTTCCGCAGAATGGGTTGTCTTTATCGCGGCCGGAAAGCGATTCTCGGAAACGCTAGGCAAAACCACAATTCGAAACTTGACTCCCTAGTTCCCAAGGAGATGTACGCTCGTTATATTTTGTTAAAAATATATTTTTCCGCGGTCTAAAAGCGAACGCGATACCCGACAGAAACTCTATCTCGAGAACTTCAGATAAAATAACAAAAAATATCGTATCGCCCTTTCGTAGGAAGAGTCCTCATTTTCGATTTCCTTTACTTCGTTCTTTCGGAAGTTTCATGGATGCAGTGCAAAAACTTGAATCGTTTTTGCGTAAAATGTAAACTATGGAAGACACGAAGTACACTGGAGGGAAATCGGTATAACATGTGCATTGTTTAAGTACGGATGGAAGTAGGATATCAAATGACCAATGAATAAGGTTGATAACTAGGCGTATAGATATTTTTATTCATTAGAACAGATATTTCGTCAGCTAGCGCACATGTATGTACGTATATTCGAAACGCGACGCGAGTGGAAACAGAAATGAATCTGGCGACCAGCCGTTTCGAAATATCGATCCAAGAGAGTGTAACACGTCGCGACATCCATTAACGTTTTCCCCAGCCGTATCGTATTCTCGATCTTAAGCGCAAATTTAATTTCCCTGGCGCCCGCATTTTCTCGGGGATCATTGTCATAACTGTAAAAGCAATTAAGGACTCAGGATATTCTGCGACACGCATACGCGTTATGAATCATATAATTTGATTTTGTATGTGGGACGCGCGGTATAATTATTCCACAATTGTCTGTGATAGGTCAAAAGGAAATAATGAGATACGCGGAAACTGAATCGATTTTACAAATTTTTTGTTCCATTGTGGACGGATGTCTATTAGGATGCGAATAAGGGACGGTTCGTTTGCGAAATTGAAAGGAAAAGGAAAATTGCGGGGAACCGATCGCATTCGGCCAGTGTAAACATTTCCATTCACGATGCAAGTGAACAGAGTCACGGAGCTTTGAAAAGGAAAATTGGATACGAGGTACAATGTGGGATTAACGTAAAAAAGCACCGAATGTTCACATTAAGTATATGTACTGCTTTAGGAGCATATCGATTAAAGGTGTAGAATATACTACCGAGGGTTCCGATATCTGCCTCTTAGCATTTTTTTCTTTGAGAAAACTACGTAGGTTCCTTTGAACAAGCAGCTTACTCGCCACATGAAAGGTCTCGCTTTTTTATATACAAAGATAGAAGGCATGAAAGTAATTATTTGAAAATTCCTATCGTTCTATGTCGTTTAATTTAAATTTCTAATCAGTAACACGAGAGATTGTATATTATTTTTATTTTACGAGATTTCTCATATAGATTCGCATACTTTAAACACGTACAAACGATTTTGTATTGTATAGGCAAACGAATGGCTCGCTGGATACTCGCTAACTTTATAGTAGTAAACCGAATAGTGGCACGTTAAAACAATCCAGTCCAATCGTTTAATCCGCCGCTTTAAGCAGTCCCCGTTGATTTCCTTGTGCTTTCCAAACTCCACTTTTTCAAACTGGTTATTTCAGCTATGCGTATTTCAGGGAAACTACCGGTATGCAATTCCCAGAGAAAATACCATCGAACCTACCAACACATTTCGTTCTCGTCTTTTCTCTATTCTCCTCTCTCTCTGTACCTCTTAATTTACCGAGCGCTATTTTCTGACCCAAAATTGTTTCCACAGGATTATCCCTTTCGTTAACGAACGTTCTTACGTTTGCGCAAAAAATCCAGCCGCGCGTTAAGTCTCATTACTCGTTATTGGAGAAGTTTTTCTAAAATTTTCGAGCAAGAAATAAGTTGCAGGTTCTTCTTGCTCGAAGAACGCCCGCTGTACGTTAGGAACGTTAATAGCAACATTCTGTAGATGAATTTTCGGTTCGCTGGTTCATGGAAATCCTTCTTAACGCTCTTGGATGACGACGCATGACGTGTTCCCGACACAAAACTGGCTCGGCGTATATAGAATGCGAAAGGAAGAAAAAGATGGAGAGAAGCGTCGCAAAATTCTGATATCACCGATCAGCGATTATCATCATCGCGCTTCTGATCGCTTTGACCCGTCGCGTGTAAAATTGCACCCCGACGCGCACGGGGGGAATAAAAAAACAAGTGAACGTGGGCGAGAAGACACTTCGTGGAAAGGCGAAAACATGCTTGTTGTTGCTGCTACGATTTACGATGGCACTTAAAGCAGTCCCCTTGTCCTCTCTGCCGCTCTCTTTACCCATTATTTTTTATATACA